TACTTTAAAAAAAAAAAAAAAAAAAAAATTTTTTTTTTTTTTTTTTTTTTTTTTTTTTTTTTTTTTACAAACATAGAACATATTTGCTAAAACCGTGACCAACTATTGGCCTAAAATCAAAATGTGCATTGCTCTGAATATCTCCATATGGCAACATCATGCTTTTGGGAATGACTCACCCAAGAGTACGCATCTTTTTATATATACATACTGTATGCTTTGAGAGATAAAGTATATTATATTAACAAACCTGCATGAAATGACATTGCTTTGGCCAGGTGACATACTCTTGATACTCAATGTGCTTCAATAAGCACTAAAAACGTTTCCTTTACAGTTTTTTTTTCTAAATAAATCTCAAACTTCCTGAAAAAGGGGTTCAGAACAGTCTTCAAATTTACACAAAAGCATAAATTCTCAGGAAAGAAAAAAGTGTGCTTTCTTTCGACAGGCAGATGTTTCAGGCCAAAATGAGATAGGCCCACAATAACAGTCCTTGGAAGCCAGATCAGTCATTTCTGAAAATGCCAAAAGGCTATTATAAGACAGAAAGGTGGGAGGAAATTCGGATAAGCACTAAAAACGTTTCCTTTACAGTTTTTTTTTCTAAATAAATCTCAAACTTCCTGAAAAAGGGGTTTAGAACAGTCTTCAAATTTACACAAAAGCATAAATTCTCAGGAAAAAAAAGTGTGCTTTCTTTCGACAGGCAGATGTTTCAGGCCAAAATGAGATAGGCCCACAATAACAGTCCTTGGAAGCCAGATCAGTCATTTCTGAAAATGCCAAAAGGCTATTATAAGACAGAAAGGTGGGAGGAAATTCGGCAGCTGTTGTGCAGGTCTGTCCCTTTACCAGCAAAATTTGATCCATTTAGTCAAGTTAATAACAGCTCATGTTAGTATTATGACTGTCCTGAGCTGCTGGCTGTGACAAGTTGGGCTTCACTGAGAAGAATACGTATGTGATGGTCCTCCTTCAAGCCCGCTTCCCTCGCTTTCGCCTGGTTTAAGGATGACACATGATCCAGCGTGCCAAAACCTGCAGCCAATAGGGGGGCAGAATACATGGGCATTCCAATCGACATGAGCCAATCAGACACAGAGCTCACATGAACAGGAGACACTGGCTTCCGATACATGTCAGTCAGACCTCCTGAGGGAATCTGTGGAGAAAAGGAAAACAAGGGCTAAATCTCAGTGCTAATGCAGGAAAGTAAATAAGAGTATTATGATCTAATTTGACTCACATGCATGTGCTAAATCAAATAATGGAATCTGCTTAAGTAACTCACAGCCATGCGGTGCTCCTTGCGGAGTTGTTTAACTCTGATCTGATCCAGACTGGATGCCACGTCCTTCACTGGCTGCTGAAAGTCCTCTGAGTACCTCTGTACTAAGAGCTGAGGAATACCACAGCGGCCGTGCTGAGAAACACAGAGAGAAAAGGAAAGATTAGCCAGGAA